GCAGAGGGTAAATAGGCAGTTTAGGGAACAGCCCCAGTGAGTCTCCAGGCCAATCACCTGGGAAACTCCCCTGCTGCAGGTCACAGATTCTCTACAGATCAAAGCTCCTCTACTTACAGGTGCCTCATAGATCATCAGAAGATAAGTCACCTTATTTACCCTTTACCACGACTTTTTTTTTCTTTTTTTCTGCAACCATTTACATACATCTTATCCTTTCCACTTGAATGGAGTCCTTTCTTGGGACCGGTCCCTTCTCAGGGCATTTCTCTTTCTAACAAACAAACGGTACTGTCTGAAGTGCTCAACTCCCGAGTCTGCGGGGTTTGTTCCTTATCGTTAAAGGGGTACGATCTCGAGGTCACAGCACCCATTGCGGTTCGCTGCCTGTTACCATACACACAAGGGCTCACAGGCCGGCTGTGCTGCAAGACCTCGGCCGCGCACTGCAGGGACCGGGAGACTTTGACTCGGAGCTTCTTTGGGAATCAGTTGCTATGGAAACCACCGCATCCCGGGTAGACTGACAGGAGCCGCAGCACTACTGACCTCCCCGAAAACCAGATCTGGAACCCTCGCTCACCTTCTGGATTCTACTATTCTGATCCAGGCGGGCGAAGCATGGGGCGCAGCGTGATGGCGTCACACGCGCGCTAGCCCCGCCCCGGACTGTCCTTTTCACAAGGCGCCGCGCCTATTAGCTTTGGGCGGGGCTAAAGGCAAGACCCCGCCCAGTTTATTTAAATTAGCACCGCAGGCGGAAGTCTTCCGGGTTGGGAGTGTCGCGCCTCTACGTTCCCTACGGCACTGCGACGGGTGCGCAAGAGGTTCCTGCCTTTTCCTATGCCATTTTGTTTTCTGCTATTCTGATCTTCCCGCAATTGATTGGACATACCGTCAAATCAAAGGACTTTGCATTCGTCAGCCATAGAATCTTAACTTTTTTTTTTGTAGTCTCACATTCCACACCTGACTAGGCTTTGCCTTTCCAGTGTTGGAATTACAGGCGTGACCTACAATAATTTCTTCTTCTCCTCCTCCTCTTCCTCCTCCTCCTCCTCTACTTTTTTTTTTTTTTTTTTTAAATCAAGACAGGGTTTATCTGTATAGCCCTGGCTATCTTAGAATTCACTTTGTAGACCAGGCTGGCTTTGAACACAAGAGATTCTCTAGCCTCTGCCTCCCAAATGCTGGAATTAAAGACGTGTGCTACCACTTCCTGGTCCAAAATAATTTCTTATGTTCTGTTACAAAGTGTAATATTTGCATACATCAAAGTAGCGGATACAGGGGATACTGAACGTTTTTAAGGCAAAGAGGTGGTAAACAGATGGATATGCAGTTACCCTGATATACTGTATGCGGGCATTACAATGTCACACTGTATCTCATAAATATGTATAACATGCGTGTCAAGATTTTTAAGTTAATATTCGAAGTGGGCACGTTGGCACATGGCTGCAATCTCAGCATCCAAAGGCTGATGCAAACTATAGGGAATCTGGGGCCAGTCTGGGTTACCTAGTGACAGCTGGCCTCAGATACACACAAACACATAGACATGCATACATACATAAGGCTGAGGATGCAGTTCAGCTGGCAAAGTATTTACCTATCCTACTCAAAGTCCTGCCATAGATACCAGCACTACATAAACTTCGTGTGCCATTGCATACAATCTCACATTCAGAAAGTAAAGCCAGGAGAATCAGGAGTTCAAGATCATCCTTGGCTACTTGGTAAGTTGGAGAGACCAGCCTAGGCTGCCAGACTCTTTCTACAACACACAAACAAACAAATCTGGAAGAGGAAAGGGAGTCTGGTGTGAGACTATGCATTTTGTGCCCATTCTAAAGGAGGCAGACGATTTCTTGCAGGTTTCCCGATAAAGCTTTCTCAAAGGGAAGACTAGGGATATATCAGGCAAACTGTGAAGAGGAACAGGCTATTGGAAAAGCCTATTTGGGGGTCAAATATGGACAATCTTGACTACTGAATTAGCTTAACAATTGGTGTTGGAAGACTTGAAAAATAAAAATTCATCCAAAACATAGATCTAGACACATGGCTAAATGGCTGAGGGCTTTTATAGCCCGCACCATGTCCTGGAAACAATCCCCGGCGTTACAGTAATAGCAATAAAACAAGGCATCAATCTGTCCGGCTCATTTGTTTCTTAGCAAACATTTATGAAGCACATATTCTCAGAATCTGTGCTAGGCACTCTAGGGAAAAGATGAATAAAAGGGGAGCCTCCCCCATCACAGGGCCACAGTCTAATAGAGGCAGATGAAAAAGAAGCAAGTCTGTTATAGGTAGTATAAGAGAGTACAAACAGAAAACGTTCCTTGACACACTCATAGCCCAAACTGCTCACTGGAGGTTGTTGTTTTGTTCTGGTCAGACCTGAACTGGAGTTGCCCTCAGAAGGGTGATGTGGTCCTTTGAATGTAATTGGACCCTATAAGCTCACAGAGAGTGTCACTACTAGGAGGCGTGGCCTTGATGGAGTAGGTGTGGCCTTGTTGGAGGAAGTTATCACTGTGGGGATGGGCTTTGAGGTCTCCCATGCTCAAGTTACACCCAGTGTGGACACAGACTTCTGCTGCCTGGGGATCAAGATGTAGAACTCCAAATTCCTTCTTCAGCACCGTGTCTCCCTATACACCACCATGCTTCTCACCATGGACGATAATGAACTAAACCTCTGAAACTGTAAGCCACCCCAATTAAATCTTTTCCTTTACAAGTCTTGCTGTGGTCACCGTGTCTCTTCACAGCAATGGAAACCCTAAGACATATCATAAGGCAGTTTCCACAAGAGGCATCCCAAACTGACCTGCAATAGCTCTGGTTGGGACTACAAAGAAAGAAGCATTAAATCCTGGGTCAAATTAGTACAAAGTTTGTTTATTTATTTATTTATTTATTTATTTATTATGTATACAATATTCTGTCTGTATGCCTGAAGGCCAGAAGAGGGCACCAGACCTCTTTTCAGATGGTTGTGAGCCACCATGTGGTTGCTGGGAATTGAACTCAGGACCTTTGGAAAAGCAGGCAATGCTCTTAACCACTGAGCCATCTCTCCAGCCCCTAGTACAAAGTTCTTATGCAAACTTGCACCACACCAGTGCCAAGGATATGAGAAGAGAGGGCTGTTCTGTTTAGTTCTGTCCAGTTAAGTGTGTGTGTGTGTGTGTGTGTGTGTGTGTGTGTGTGTGTAGCTCCCATAAGGAATTTGAGCTCAGATTGAGAGTCACCTTTTTGTTGGTTTTGGACAATAGTCTAACACTTCCCTTGGTGCTCAGGAATGTTCATGGCCATGGCTTGGACTCAAGGTTACCAGGGAAACATTGTTGCTAGCTCAGTTAGTCCTCAAGGCACACTATGATTTCCTTTGTGTCAGCACAGAGACAGTAGCAGGGCCTGGAGGATGCTATGGAGGGACATCGGGAGCAGAAAGGGGGTTGCTTAGAGAGCAAAGGAGTGTAAAATGGTGACCAAGAATCTGGCACTTAGCACTCGGGAGGCAGAGGCAGGCGGATCTCTGTGAGTTCGAGACCAGCCTGGTCTACAAGAGCTAGTTCCAAGACAGGCTCCAAACCATGGAGAAACCCTGTCTCGAAAAACCAAGAAAAAAAAAAAAAAAGAATCTGGCACTTGGCCAGAACCAAAGCTATGTAGGATTCCGTTTCTTCTCAGATAGCATTTCTTGTTAAGGACCTGACATTGTCCTCTCCATGATGGGGGAGTCTTTGAACATATGAGCAGTTTTTCAGGTAGTGTATGTGTGTGTGTTTGTGTTTCTGAGGCAAGGTTTAACTATATATCCCAAGCTGCCCTCAAACTCACAGCAATCTTACTGTCTCTACCTCCTAGTGCCTGTCTGGCTTACAGGTAGGAGCCACCATGCTCTGCTGAATACTGTAAATTTTAAAATGTATTATTTAATTTAATTTATTTTTATCTTATGAGCATTGGTGTTTTGCCTACATTATGTCTGTGTGAAGGTGTCAGAAGCCTTGGAAGTGGAGATACAGCAGCCAGTTTTGAGCTGCCATGTGGGTGCTTCGGATTAATTGCTGAGCCATCTCTCCAGTCCTTAAAGTGTCTGTCTGTTGCTATTCTTTTTTTGTTTGTTTGTTTTTGCTTTTGTTTTTCAAGACAGGGTTTCTCTGTAGCTTTTGGAGCCTGTCCTTGAACTAGCTCTTTTTTTTTTTTTTATAAAGCAATATCTTTAATTTTCAACATTTCTTTTTTGTTTTTAAATTATTTACTTATTATATATACAATATTCTGCCTGCATGTATGCCTGCCCACCAGAAGAGGGTACCAGATCTCATTGATGGTTGTGAGCCACCATGTGGTTGCTGGGAATTGAACTCAGGCCCTCTGGAAGAGCAGCCAGTGCTCTTAACCTCTGAGCCATCTCTCCAGGCCTTGTAGCTCTTTAGACCAGGCTGGCCTCGAACTCATAGAGATCTACCTGCCTCTGCCTCCTGACTGCTGGGATTAAAAGTGTGTGCCACCACCGCCTGGCCTGTTGCTATTCTTTTGTTTTGTTGGTTTTGGTTTTTTGAGACAGGGTTTCTCTGTGTAGCCATGGCTGTCCTGGAATTCACTCTGTAGACCAGGCTGGCCTCAAACTTGCAGAGATCTGCTTGCCACTGCCTCCCAAGTGTTGGAATTAAAGACATGTGGCACCATGCCCGACCTAAAATGTATTTTTATTTTGCAAGAAAGCAGAACAAATTTTAATTAGTATAGTAAACTATTACCACAGATTATATTTATTAGGTCAGGCTAAAAATCCTATGTTCTTCAAAAAGGTATTAAGATTAAGTATAGAAAAAACTATAAATAAAGCACAGAATGACTAAAATTTGAGAAATATTACTCTTCCTGTTTATTCTATTTTATGTAACTGGTTATATTACAAAATTACCTTGTTTAATCAATATAATTAAACAGTATTATAGAATAAATTTACAGGTTAGTAATGATAGGTTATTAGATTTTTAGATTTATTAGATTATTGTGTTTTTTACTCAATTTCCTTTTTTAAAACAGGGTCTCAAGTAGCCCATATTGGCCTTGAATTCCATCCACAGTGGAGGGCAGCCTTGGATTCCTAATCCCTTCCCCCACACCAAGTGCTAGGATCACAAAGAAAATAGCAACCGTGATAACAACAACCCCGGAGTGCTAGAATTACAGGCAGGTCACCACACACCACCTTATTTAGGCTCTACAGGAGATTCAGAATATGGCCCAATATATTTTTGTTTATAAAATTAATAACGTTCACTACTAACAAGACCTCCTGGGAATGTTTCAGTGTTCTGACTTCAGCTATAAATTTGGTTTCTATGCTTTAGTAAAAGCTCACTTGGAAGCTTTCTTTCCACCATGAATCACTTGGTACTGAATGGAAAGAAAGAATTAAAAAAATTTCCACATTTGTCCGTTCATTTGCCCCCAACACAGCTCTGTGCCATTAAGGGGGCGGACTTCAGCTGGAGGGGTTCCCATCCTTACAGCCACATAGCTTCTCGCGGCTGTGGATCTTCCTATGTTGGTTAAGGTGAGCACTCTGGCTGAAGGCTTTCCCACACTCAGTACACTGATAGGGCTTCTCTCCCATGTGCGTCCTTTCATTGATGGTTACAATGTGTCCGTTGGCTGAAGGCTTTCCCGCAGAAGCTACAGTCGGACGATCTCTCTCCAGTGCGAAGTCTCTGGCGCTCAGTGAGAGGCGTGATGCAGCCGAAGGCTTCGCCACACCGAGTACATTTGTAGGGCTTCTCTCCCGTGTGGATCCTCAGGTGCTGTGTGAGGAAGAATGCTGACGGAAGGTCTTCCCACGTTCCTGACGGATGAAAGGCTTTTCCCTGGTATGGATTCCCGGATGCTGAGTGAGATGTAGCCTCTGGATGAACCCTCTCCCACTCTCGTCGCACTTACAGGGTTTTTCTTTTGTCAGGGCTACCTGAGGTTGGTTTGAGTTGAATTTTGCTCAGAGGCCTTTGCACACTCACCGTGTTTCTCTCTGAGAAGAATACAATTAGTAAGAAAAGCATGTTGGTGGAAACTTTTTCCACATTCATTATATTCATAGGGATTCACATAGTTTCCTCGATAATCAGTCAAATCCGCGTGCCGCCTGATGCTGTTTCCTCGCGTGTCATGGCGGAGAGGCTTTTTTTTTTTTTAACAGGAGGGAATCCTCTGAGGCATAGTAAGGTTAGAATTCAGATTATAGTTTTCCTCAAATTTATTACACCCCATGCTCCTGTGTAATTTTTTAAAAATATTTATTTATTTATTATGTATACAATATTCTGTCTGTAGGCCAGAAGAGGGCACCAGACCTCATTACAGATGGTTGTGAGCCACCATGTGGTTGCTGGGATTTGAACTCAGGACCTTTGGAAGAACAGGCAATGCTCTTAACCACTGAGCCATCTTTCCAGCCCTCTGTGTAATTTTTTGGTGGGTGAAAGATACTTGTTCCAAATGTTTCTGTTTCTGCTGCTTTTCTTGGTTCAATTCTGATAGTCAAAATCCCAGCATCCTTGTAAGATAGCAAACCAGAAAGTGCCCCCCCCCTCCGTCTTTCCATTATGATCTCATGGAGCTGGTTTTCATCGGATGTGTTCTGCTTGACAGTTGTCTTTCATTTCCCGTCTGTCCACCCCATCTGAAAGAGATTCAAAATGTACAAATCCTTCCTAACATTAAGTTTTAAAAAGGAAAGGGTTACATACAGAATTACCTGAGAACCCTGATGACAATCTCACCACATTTTTTTTTTGTTTTGTTTTTCAAGACAGGGTTTCTCTATAGCTTTGGAGCCTGTCCTGGAACTCGCTCTATAGACCAGGCTGGTCTCGAACTCACAGAGATCCACCTGCCTCTGCCTCCCAAGTGCTGGGATTAAAGGCGTGCGCTACCATTGCCCGGCCCTAATCTCACCACATTTTAAAATAGGACATATGACAAGCAGGAAGACTATGAAAGGAGGCAGGAAACAGTGAGCATGGGGACAGTTTTTATTTATTTTTTATTTTTTATTTTTTTAAATTTTTTATTTTTTAATTTTATTTATTTATTTATTTTAATTTATTAAAGATTTCTGTCTCTTCCCCACCGCCGCCTCCCCTTTCCCTTCCCCACCCCCAATCAAGTCCCCCTCACTTGTCAGCCCAAAGAGCAATCAGGGTTCTCTGCCCTGTGGGAAGTCCAAGGACCACCCTCCTCCATCCAGGTCTCTTAAGGTGAGCATCCAAACTGCCTAGGCTTGGGGACAGTTTTTAAAAAGATTTATTTATTATGTATAGTGTTCTGCCTGCCAGCCAGAAGAGGGCGCCAGATCTCATTATTGATGGCTGTGAGCCATCACGTGGTTGCTGAATATTGAACTCAGGACCTCTGGAAGAGCAGCCAGTGCTCTTAACCTATGAACAATCTCTCTAGTCTGAGTATAGGGACATTTAAAACACATGGAGGGTAGTCATAACCAAAAATGGTCATCCAGAAATATCCATGGTTAAAAACAAAGGGGCAGGAGAGAAAGACATGTCAGACCAAGATTCTGGAGGATGTCTGAGCTTTGCGAAGGCAGCGCTCGGCCCACGCCCTACAAAGCACATTTGCAAATCGTTCTATTCATGCAATCCTCCTGCTTCAGCCTCATGAATGCTGGCATTGCAGGTGTGCACCACCACGCCCACTGACTCGTTTGTTTTTTTATTTTATTTTTAATGTCTGAGTATTTTTTCACACCTAACTGGGGCATGGGTCACTCACTGCACATGTGTAGAGGTCAGGGGTTCTTCGCACCTTCTAGTATGTGGGTTTTGAAGGATCAAAATCAGGCTGTCAGGCTTCACATGACCACCTTTACCCACCGACCCTTCCTGCTGCCTCTGGCTCCACTTTGTGTTTAGGTCTCCTGCTTACACGTAGACACTGACCGTCCTCCTAATCACCCCCTGTTCTTTCTTCCATTAATATAAATATCACCCAAGCTGCTAAGCGCTCTGGATACATTTCGGGTCTCTTCTTAGCTAAGAAGACATTTTAGATAAACAGGCAATGTCACTAACAACGAAGTATGTGATATTCCAGAGGGCATGCCAGGATTCGGTCCCACAAGGGAGAGTCCTCTCTCAGTCCCTTAAGAGGGACTGTTAGAGCTCCAGGAGCTAGCTCATGTAATGAGGATTACAGACTAATCCCGGCATCTATGTACTTGCTGGTTGGTGTGGTGGCCTACCTTAGTAATCTCAGTGCTCAGGAGACAGAGACTGGCTACTTGGACTAGTCCAACCTGCAAGCTCTGGGGTCCAGTGTGAGTCCTTGCAACTAAGGGGGACACCTGATGCTGATTAACCTCTGGCCTCTGTGCAGCTGTGCAAACACACACACACACACACACACACACACACACACACACACAGAGAGAGAGAGAGAGAGAGAGAGAGAGAGAGAGAGAGGCTAGCCAGAACTACAAAGTGAGATCTTTGTATCAAACAATCAAAGCAATAAAGAAATAATTTTAGCTGGGTGATAGCGGCACAGGCCTTTAATTCCAGGACTAGGGAGGTAGAGGCAGGCAGATCTCTGAGTCTGAGGTCAGCTTGGTCTACAAAGTGAATTCTAGGACAGTCAGGGCTATACAGAAAAACCCTGAGACCTCATCCCCCACCCCAAACATAATAATTTTATTCTGGGGCTGGCTAGAGAGATGGCTCAGCAGGTTGCTCTTTGAGAGGACCCAGGTTCTGTTCCTACCACCTTTCATGATGGTTCACAACCATCTGTAACTCCAGTCCCGAGGGACCAGATGTCCTCATCTGACATCCATGGCACCAGGCCTGTACGTGGTGCACATACATACATGCCAGCAAACACTCGCCCACATGTAATAACCTGGGTCACATAGGGACACTGCTTAGAAACTGAAAAAGAAGAAGAGTGTATAAGTCACAAAGTTTAGGTTTTGAAATATTTAATTAAATGCTAGCATGATATTGATGAAAATATAATGGAAAAATCTGTAAGGAACACTGGAGGCTCAAACTAGTGAAACGGGAAGATGAAATGGAAATGCCACTTAAAAGTAAGAACGGAACACCAAGTCACGGGGAGAAACTGTGAAGGGGCAGAGAGCCCAAGACAAGTGGAAGAAAAAAATGGAAGACGACATCAAGACTGCCAAGTCTACGTCATCCCGTCCCAACAGCCCACGACTGACGTCAGCCACTGCCTTTGAGGGAAGGACGTTAGATCTGAGTGACTTGGCAGCACAGGAAGGTAGGAATCGAATCCCTAAGGTAAGCCAAGCAGATCATAAATGAGGCTCTGGGCTCCGGAAAGTAAGTATAAAGAGTTAGATAATAAGAGGGAAAAGAAAAATTAAAAGAAAGTAAAATGGAGAAACTTGGGTGTAAAAAGAAAAGATTTAAAGATTACTGAAAGGAGGGGCTGGAGAGATGGCTCAGTGGTTAGGAGCACTGGCTGCTTTCTCAGAGGATCAAGGATGACACGCAACCACAGAGTGGCTCCCACCACTCCAGTCCCAGGGCATCTGATACCTTCTTCTGTCCTCCTAGGGCACTGCATGTACTCGGTGCACAGACAAATGCAGGCCAACATCCATACACGTAATATAAAATGGGAAGACAAAAAAAAAAAAAATTACTGAAAGGATGTGTAAGGAAAACACAGAGAAAACGCTAGGGGGCGATCTGTAACAGCGTTTACATTGTTCAAACTTCCACATCGAGGATATCATTTTTCTCCCTTCCCTTCCCATTTCCTTTATCTCAAATAAACTCCACACCCAAGCTCTGTCTGCACGCCGTGTTCTCTCATCTTCTGCGGCTTGGACCCACTCGCCATGGGACCCCCCCCCCCCCCCCCCCCCCAACCCCCCCCCCCCCCGCCCCCCCCCCCCCCCCCCCCCCCCCCCCCCCCCCCGCGCGCAAAGGTCTCGCGTGCAGGGCCCTCACCCACCTTGGGACCCGCCAACAACATATACTCATCCTGCTTCTCACCTGGAAAAGCATCCAGCTGGCTGCTGCTTTCTGGTGTCCACTGCGCCCCTTCTTCCAACTCTGTGATCACTTCCGGTTTATAAAGCTGGTGCCCTGGTCATGGGGGTGGGGGAATGTCGGTCTTACATGTTTATAGGGAACAAAAGTCTTCAGGGACCAAATCAGGCAACCTGGTTCATTCGTACCCATTATCCCAGCACTCAGAAGGCACAAGGGTTGCCATGAGTTTGAGGTAAGGCTGGTATAAATATAAATATATAAATATAAATAAATATAAATATACACAATACACACACCTTGTTTCAGAAAAAAAAAAAGATCTCAACAAAGTCTGAGCCCCACTCCCTTCCCCACCCCGCCCCCTGCCAAAGGGAAAAGAACGGCAGACAAATGTCTATCTCCAAAACTGGCCAGCATCCTTCTGTATGGCCTAGACTGTATTCACAAAGCTTTCGATGCCTCCTCTGACCTAAGGAAATAAACTCATTTGAATGGGCTCTGCTGTCCCAACAACTCCAAGCTTACCCAGTGCAACCAGATTCCTGTTGCTCTTCAGCATCCCGTTTCCATAGAGATCCTTCTGAGCTGGGTCAGCTGTGCCCCTTCTTCTCTGGTGAAGTCCACAGCCACACCCTGGAATGTCAGCAACTCCTGGAACATCAAGCACACGCCTCCTTGTTCACACCTTTTTTTTTTTTTTAATTTACGTCTAGGCCATTGTTGCCCCTCCTGCCTCTCCTCCCAGTCCCTCCCCCATGCTCACACCTAATTTTTTTTTAAGTGAAAGGTATTTTTTTTTTTGAGTTATTCCAAATCACTTGACTGGTTTCCATAGAAACAACATCTAGGGGCATTTCCATCTCATCAGCTGACACAACACTTAATTATATTGTAGAATTGTTAAGTTCAGCCCCAAGCCCTGAGAGCTGTATTGGTCTGGACTCCAAATCTCAGCATGTGAGGTCCTGACCCCTGCAGTACCAACCCCACAGAGTATTTAAGTGAACTCCCAAAAGAGGAACACGGGGTCCCTTTTCTTTCCTCCTGGTGGTCGCATTCGTGGCCTCCCGGTTCCCCCTTGGGGCCACCCGAGAGCTCAGGAATCCCATTAAACCTGGATATCTTTTAATTTGGCTTGTTTTGATTTGGCTTGATTGGGATTTTGCATGGGCAGAGAGCTCGCTTTAGGAAAAATTCCTAACCGAATTGTAACAATGGGCTCCAATGGATTTTGGAAGATTCCTTCTCTCGGTGTGTGTGCGTGTGTCTTGCGTCTCTCTAGGAAGTCTGTCATGTAATAGCATAAAGGTCAGAGGACAACTTCATATTGTCTCTCAGGCATTTATTTTATGTTCAATGGTGTTCTGTCAGTATGCCTATCTGCCTGTATGCATGTCTGCGGGAGGGTGTCGATCAGCTGGAACTGCAATTATAGACAGTTGTGAGCTGTCATGTGGGTGCTGGGAATTGAACCCTGGTCCTTTGGAAGAGAAGCCATTGCTCTTAAATGCTGAGCCATCTCTTTAGCCCCGACTTTTTCTTCTTGAAATAGTGTCCCTCGCTGGCTCTGGAACTTCCTACTAGACTAGACTGACTGGCCAGTGAGCTCCAGGGATCGTCTTGTCTGTGCCTCTCCAGCACTGGGCCACTATCCCTGGCATATGCATGTATATATGTATATGACATATACATGTATACAATGCATGCATATATGTATATGCATTTGTAGATACATTTGTGTGTTTGTGCATACATGTGCACATGTGCTCAGGGAAATACACATGCCGTGGTGCATAGAACAACTTCAGGTGTTGGTCCTCACAAGGTCTCTTTGGTTTGCTGTTAAGTCCACCACGCTAGCTGACCCTTCTGCCTGTGCCTCCCTTCTTGCCAAAGAGAAGACAGTTGTGAGCTGCCATATGGAGGCTGGGAATTGAATCCAGGACCTCTGGAAGAGCAGCTAGTACTCTTAACTCCTGAGCCACCTCTCCAGCTCCTGGAATTCTTTTATTATTTTTACCCTGGGTTCTGGGGATCACACACAGTCCCCATGCTTGTAAGGCAGGCAGTCTAACGACTGAGACATCATCCCAGTCATATAATAGCTTTTTCTCCCCAGCACTGGGGACTGAACCCAGGACCTTCTTATGTGAGGCAAGCACTCTTTCCCGGCCTCACAGGAGATTCTTATGTATGAATGTTTTGCCTGCAGGTATGTCGTGAACTGTGTGTGTGCAGTGCCCACGGAGGCCAGAGGATGGCACTGGCTCCTTGAGGACTAGAGATACAGACATTAGCTGGCATGTGGGTGCTGGGAATTGAACGCCAGTAGTCTGCAAGAACAAAGGCTCTTTTTGTTTGTTTGTTTGTTTGATTTTTTTTAAAGATTTATTTTTATTATGTGTACAGCATTCCTTCCCTGTGTGTCCGCATACCAGAAGAGGGCGCCAGGTCTCATTACAGATGGTTGTGAGCCACCATGTGGTTGCTGGGAATTGAACTCAGGACCTCTGGAAAAGCAGTCAGAAAAATATGGAACGCTTCACGAATTTGCGTGTCATCCTTGCGCAGGGGCCATGCTAATCTTCTCTGTATCGTTCCAATTTTAGTATATGTGCTGCAGAAGCGAGCACGTTTGTTTGATTTTTCATGAAAGGGTTTCTCTGTGTAGCTTTGGAGCCTGTCCTGGAACTTGCTCTGTAGACCAGGCTGGCCTTGAACTCACAGCGATCCACCTGCCTCTGCCTCCTGAGTGCTGGGAACAAGTGCTCTTAATGGCTGAACAATTTTTCCTATCATAAAAGCATTTTAGAAGAGAGGAAGCTGAATTTACCTGGCATCCTCTGGTCTGGAATCCGTCATTCACCTCTTTCGCCTTCATCTTCTCCTCCAGGGAAAGTCAAGTATTCTAAGAGCGTATGACCCGGAGAACTAGAAAGGAAACACATTGTTAATCTATGACATCAGATCTGCATTTAAACCTTGGAACATCTTGCTGCAGCAGACAATATACTGAGAAGCTGTCAAAGATACAAACTTAAAAGTTAGACAACTGTAACATCAGGATTTCTTTTTAACAGTTTTTTTTTCTTAAAAATTACCTATTTTATTTTATGTATATAAGTGTTTTGTCTTTATGGATGTGCACCATGTATATGCCTGGTGATCTCACGTCCACTCAAACTGTAGGTGCAGATCACTGTGATCTGCCATGTGGATGCTGGAACCAAGCCCAGGTCCTCTGCAAGAGCAGTACCGCCTCTCCACCTCTGTTATTGCTTGTTAGAGGCAGGGTCCCGTGTAGTACAGCCTATATGTAGTCAAGGTTAACCTTGACCCGATTCTCCTGTCACCGTCCATGTCCAGCTCATCCTTGCTTTTCCACTACATGGAGTGACTGTCTGGAGGACTTTTCGCCATGTTACAAATGTTTATGTTGTAGCACATGGGAAGTCTAATGGTCTTTAGCCTGTTTATACACTTGGGGAAATTAGAAAGGCTACCAAGGCTCACTCAACTTCTATTTTTAGAGATTCTTTTTTTAATTGGTGTGCTCTAGGCCTGAGCAACAATATTTTCAATTGTTAAAATCTCCAAAGTGATTCTAGGTACAGACTTGAACTTATGAGCCAGTGTGATGCGAACAGCATTGTTGATGGCTTTTTTGGTTGCTTAGTTTTTTTGAGACAGGATTTCTCTGCATTCCTGGCTGTCTTGGAGTTTGCTCTATAGATCAAGGCTATCCTCAAACTCAGAGATCTGCCTGCCTCTGCCTTTCCCATGCTGGAATTAAAGACCTGTGCCACAACCGCCAGGCTAGTTTACTATTATTATTATTACTATAATTGTTTTTTTTTTTTTTTGAGACAGTTTCTCTATAGCTTTGATGCCTGTCCTGGAAGTCACTTTGTAGACCAGGCTGGCCTCGAACTCACAGAGATCCACCTGTCTCTGCCTCCCGAGTGCTGGAATTAAAGGCGTTTGCTAATTTTGTTTTTTGAGACAAGGTCTCACTAGATAGCACAAGCCAGCCTTAACAATCCTCCTTTCTCAGCCCTACCTCTTTCCTAGTGTTGGAATGACAGACATGAGAAGCCACAGCTACCCAACTAATAGTGTCCATTTCTAGTGTCCAATTATTTTCCTTTTTACACTGGTGGAGGTCAAATACCAGGCAAGGGTTCTATCATTAAACTACATTCCAAGCCTCTTATTTGTAGTCTTTATTCTTACAAAGGATAAATCCACCTTGAAAGTTATACTTCGGTGGTGTGTTCCTCCTCTACTCTCAGTGATCTTTTTTAAAGGTTTATTTATTATGTATACAGTTTTCTGTCTGCATATATGCCTGCAGACCAGAAGAGGGTGCCAGATCTTACTACAAATAGTTGTGAGCCACCATGTGGTTGCTGGAAATTGAACTCAAAACCTCTGGAAGAGCAACCAGTGCTCTTAACCTCTGAGCCATCTCTCCAGCCTTTAGTGATCATTTTATCAGGCACTGCACTCCTATCTCTTTTCAGAACATCCACCTTCCTGTTTGAGTATCTATATTAAATCCCCTACCAGAATCACTACACCACCTTATGGTTCCTACGCTTTTACAACACAGCCCCTCCCCTCGATGCACTAGCACTAGAAACTCCCATTCCTTGGCAGTCCTTACAAACTCTTCACCAGGGCATTCTAGAAATCAGACAGTGGAGGTGATGAGAGCAGGCATGAACTGACACCACGGCAACCATATCTGTTTCGGGGAACTCTTAGAGTCTTGACATGTTTAGAATGGAGATGTACGGTTCCCTGAAGATGGCTATTACTTCCCCTGAATCTAAAACCATCATTCACTTACGTAGGCATTTTTAAAATTTTTACTATGATATTCTAAATTGCCCTTTGGCAGAGATCTAGTAAGATAACAATTTTTCAGGGTGGGTACCCAGAATGAGAGGCACCACAGGAAGCAGAGGAAATTCAGGAGTCTTGATCAGTACTGACCTATGCAATCCATAGTCCACAAACTATTCATTAAGACAGTGCATAGCAAGCAGTGGTGGCGCAGGCCTTTCATCCCAGCGCTCTGGAGGCAGAGGCCAGTGGATCTTTGAGTTCAAGGTCTACAGAGTGAGTTCCAGGGCTGCACAGAGAAACCCTGTTTTGAAAAACAAAACAAAACAGAATGGTTTCTCTGTGTTGGCCTAGCTGTATAGACTTCACTGGCTTCAAACTTAGAGATTCACTGCCTCTGCTTCCCAAATGCTGGGATTAAAGGCGTGCGCCACCACTGCCCAGCCTACATTCTTTAATGTAGTACTTAAGTTGTCCTTCATCGTTCTCCTCCCCACACCCCTCTCTTGAGACAGAATCTCACTCTGTAGGCTGGCTTTGAACTCTTGGTTAGCCTCCTGCCTCGGCAATCCCTAGAATGGAACTGAGATATTGCTATTCTCAGGCTTTTAAATGTCTGACTCACATATTTAAAAAACCAGAGGTTGCTGGGTGTCAGTTTGCATGCCTTTAATCCCAGGGCGGGCTAGCGGATCTGTGTGAATCTGAGGCCAGCCTCTAGTGAGCTTTAGGTTAGCCAGGGCTATGGATCAGTTCCCGCAAAAGAAACAAAGAAATAACCCAGAGGGCCACGAATGTTACCAGCTGTGAGAAACTTAGTTTCCTCTTTCCACTCCATCTCCCCAGAGCAGAGAACAAAGTGTCCTTGCCTAATGAATTGAGAGTCTTCAGAAAGATTAGATGTTCTTTTTCCTTAGAGAGGAGGGCGGGGACCAAGCCTGTCATTCGTGAAGTCCCGAATTCCATCCACGGGACCTAATAAACTGTCTGGGTGCCAAAGACCTATACTTCTAGCACTCAGGAGGTAGAGGCAGGAGAATTAGGAGAGTAAGGTCATCCCTGATTAAACAGGGAGTTGGAGTCCAGCCTGGGAAAGATAAGGATGAAGAGGAAGGGGGAGGGAGGAAGCAGGCATTCCAACAGCAGAGTGAAGTGTACTGATTTGGTAATTGTTATCAGAGAACAGAGACACCCTGAAAAACAGCTCTCAAAAAGCTCTCTCTAATGGTGGAGATAAAGATGCTATTTCTTTTATTACAAAGTTTTTTAATCAGCATATATTAATTATAAACAATAATGGATTTCATTATGGCATTTTCAAGAACCCCTCCTCCCCCAAGGAAAGCATTTCTGTAAAGCATTTTTCCTTGTTAAGAGGGAAAACCAGCTGTTTCAATAGAACAGCCCCATTAGATAAGGAAGTCATTCAGTCTCCGCCCAAGACATGATACCAATCTTAAAATTTCACAGCCAATTCACCAAGAGGTTAAACTAAACCTTTCCAGATTAATTTAAAAACACTTTAGGAGCTGGGCATCGTGGTGCATACTTACAATCTCAGTACTCCCAGGAGGCAGAGGTAGGCGTATCACTATGAGTTCTGTGCTACCCTGGTCTACACAGCAAGCTTCAGGCCAGCCAGGGCCACATAGTGAGACTCTATCTGGAAAAAGAAAGACTGTAAGGGCCTGACCAGCAGGGTAAAGGAGTGTGTGCCAAGGCCGAGGGCATGAGTTTGAGTCCTGACTTCCTTAAGTTGTCCTCTGACTTTCACACATACCCCACAGAGTAAATAAATAAATAACATAAAAAACTTAAGAACTAGGCTCTTGTTTTTAACCACATGTAAGATCTCAAAAAGAGCCTTATGAAAATGAATGAAAATTGTAAGCCCCGGTCTCTGGCCTCCATCTTTTGAGGCCCGGTCCCTGTGCCCACCAAGTCTTGACCCTTTTTCTTCCTCCTGGTTAGTGGCCTCTCAGTTCCCACTCCAGACCACCCGAGAGTGCAGGAATACCATTAAACTTGGATATTTTTTGATTTGGCTTGATTGGGATTTTTGCTTCGGCAGAGAGCTCGCGTTAGGAAAAATTCCTAACAAAAATGTACTTAAGTTTCAAACTCAGTGATCTCAAAGCCAAAGGTGACACCAAAACCTACATTCATCTGGGCTGGAGAAAAGGCTCATTTATTGGTCAAGAGAACAGGCTGTGCTTGCAGAGGACCCAGGTTCAGGTCTTAGCACCGACACCACGCGGTACACCTCAAGGCCAGCCAGAGGTAGTTAGCAACATCCTGTACCCACCACTGCCGCTGTTGTGGCTGGAGGGATGGCTCAGCCATTAGGAGTGCTTACTGCTCTTTCAGAGGATCTGCATTTGGTTTTGGTCCCTAGTTTCCTTAATGGGTTGCTCACAATCAATTGTAATTCGAGCACCAGGAGATCCAGTATCCTCTTCTGGCTTTTGAGGGCATCCCCACTCATATGCGCATGTCCCCACATAGACATACAGGGTTCTCACTGTGTAGCTCTGGCTGACTTTGAACTCAGAGAGATCCAATTAATTGCCTTTTCCACCTAAGGGCTGGGATTAAAGGTGTGTACCACGCCAGGTAAATATGTTTCTTTGTTACATGTCTTCAAAGGTTTGTATTGTGATATATACATTATAAAATCCAGCAAGATCCCCATCAGGTAGGGAACATGCAGATATATATGGTGTATAATGTTTTCCAAACACATTCAATTTGAAAAACGTTTTATGGTATTTTCAAGTGAAAACACTTATTAGTGTGTGTGTGTGTGTGTGTGTGTCTGTATGTCTGTCTGTGTGCGCCCTGGTATACACGGAGTAGGTCATCTCCCACATTTGCATGCCTTCCAGGGATTGAATTTAGAGGCAAATACTTTATTCATCAGCCCAAGTATTTATATCTTGTTCATGTAAGAGCTTAAATCTGAAAAGATTTTGACATCATAGACCTGGTGAGACACCTTATTTACATTTTCCTTGTTCGGGAAGCACTTTTAAAAAAATCTCCCTCTAACTATCTAGTGACTGATCTTCACGTCTCACCAAGGTGTGATGTTAATGATGGCAGGATCCACTTCTGCTTACTGACTCTTTCTTTCTTTCTTTCTTTCTTTCTTTCTTTCTTCCTTCCTTCCTTCCTTCCTTCCTTCCTTCCTTTCTTTCTTTCTTTCTTTCTTTCTTTCTTTCTTTCTTTCTTTCTTCTTTCCTTCTTTTGTGTCAGGGTTTCTTTATTTAGCCTTGACTATCCTGGAAGTATCACTGTAGATAGCTCTGTAGACCAGGCTGGCCACAAACTCACAGAGATCCACCTGCCTCTGACTACCAAGTTCTGGGATTAAAAGTGTACACCACCACTACCCAGCCACTGTTCTAGTTTAATACCCAATGGCTGGCAGGCAATAAATACTTGCTAAATGAATACATGAAAGGGTTTTAGGGCCTCTGTTTACATTTTTCTATTTGCTTTAAATTTTTACTTATTTTGAAGCAGGATCTCATGTAACCCAGGCTGGCTACAGTGACAGAAAAATGCCATTTACTCTGTGTGTGTATAATCAATAGCAAGACACTGGCATAAATTATAATACAATGAGGCAATACACCAGCGGACAACTAACTTGGTCTAGTAAATGCTTCAGTTCTAACAGGTAATTGATGTGAAGGTTTATTATACCTCTAGTTTTATTATGATTTATATTAGACTTATCTCAAACACACAATATAATGTATTTCAACAACAACAACAAACCCCACAAATGAGTAAAGTGGCTTCAGATTCCTATACGGTGTATACAGATGTTATTTACTTTTTATTACTTTTGTTTTTTGAGGCGGACTTCATGCAGGTCAAGTTGGCTTCAAGTATATTATTAACTGTCATCTGACCCAGAAATGCCGCACAGCGCAGCGCACAGTGTCTAAACCGTGTTACCTAGTTAGCACGGACCTTCACTAGGGTTGAGCCACGTGGTGGCGCAGTCCGGTTAATCTCCAGTACTCAGCGAAGTTGCAAGAGTGCAAATTCAAGACCAACCCCAGCAACTTAAGTCTTACGTAATAATTTAAAATATAGAAGGGGGGGGAGATGCTGAGCATATAGCTCTTAGTGGTAGAGCAGTTGGCTGCCTTGCATGCGGGAAGCTCTGGGTTCAACCCCCAGTACCTCCAAACAAACAAAAACAAACAAAAGCTCTGTTTAATAAAGGTTAAGCCAACCACGGTCACTTAAGACAGATAAAGAGACACACAGCACAGGGTCAGCCGAAGTGGAAAAACAGATTCCACGTCCCTTCTAGGAACATCATCCAGAAAACAGGGAAAATAAGTTTCTAGTAAGGGTAGGGAAGACCCAAGTCTCCAGAGAGACACCCGGTAGGTATGCTTTGGAGAGGAGCTCGGCGGGCCGCGGGGAGCATTGCGCAAGGAGTTCACTGGTCCCCAGCATCTCCTCGGCAGTCACGGCAGTCACGGGTCTCCAAAGACAAAGGGCCCTGGAGCGGCTTTGTCCCGTGACACCGCTGCCACCGCCTGTCGGGAGCCGGGAGGGAGAAGATGCTGACGACGCTGACGATCGTGACGTTTGAGCCAATGACGCCGGGTGACTGAGCCCCTAAGGCTGGACCAGATGCCCGCTCCTGGTCTTTCTACTGCCGGGACGCAATGTCTACGGAGCTGGTGGGTTCGGATCTTGAACGCACATGCGCCAGGATGTCTGGCCATGCTCTTCCCAACTTCCTAGCTTCTAAGGGCTCAGCTAGACAAGTCTGCCGTTCCCTAAAGGGTCTTTAAACCTCCTACACAAGTGTCTTGTCCTTCAGTCTTCTCCAGGAGTTCCTGCCCAAAATGGGTGAGCCCAGAACCTGGCAGACTGCCCTTGTCATCAGAAACCTTGTAGATGTCATTACTCACAAGGCGACAACACAGATGTAATTTACCTCAGCCTGGAGCCATTCCCGCTCCCCACACCTGCCACTTTTACATAGATTAAAAACTAAAATATACGAAAACTCTAATTATAGGTCGACTGAATGAAATTTCGTTTGTGTGTGTGTTCAAAGGTGTGGCATGTGTTCGTGTGTGAGTTTTTTTTTTTTTTTGTTTTGGTTTTTCGAGACAGGGTTTCTCTGTAGCTTTGGTGCCTATCCTGGAACTAGCTCTGTAGACCAGGCTGGCCTCGAACTCAGAGATCTGCCCGCTTCTGCCTCACAAGAGCTGGGATTAAAGACGTGCGCCACCACCGCCCAGCAGCATGCTCTTCTTTACTGAGTTATATCCCTTGTCCTTTCTTCATTAATTTTTAAAAAGATTCATTTATTTGTGTGAAGCTTTTGCCTGCCTGTATGCACGTGGACAATGTGCCTGGTGCCTGCTGACATCAGAAGGTATCTCCTGAAACTGGAGTTAGGGATGCCTACAAGAGCAAAACCACTTTTTTGTTTATTTTGTTTTATATTTTGAAACAGGGTTTCTCTGTGTAGCCCTGGCTGTCCTGGGACTCACTCTGTAGACCAGCTCAAGGCTTGAACTTACAGAGATCCGCTTGCTTCTGCCGCCCCAGTGTGGGAATTAAAAGTGAGCGTCACCAGTGCCCAAGCAAAAAGCATTCTTAGCCAGTGAACCATCTTTCCAGGCCCGTATTTGTTTATTTTTTCCTCCCTCCCTCCCTCCCTCCCTCCCTCCGTCCCTCCCTCCTTCCCTCCCTTTCTCCCTCCTTTTCCCTTTCTCCCTTCCTCCCTCCCTTCTCTTGTGAGACAGGTCTCTCCAAGGTACCCAGACAGGCCTTGAACTTGCCATCCTGCTCTGCCTCTTGCATTCCAGGTCTGCAGAGTGAAGCTCAGCTATGCTGGG